CGCTCTCCGCCCGCGCACCGCCCCCCCCTTCCCCGGCGCGCGGGATCCGCCTCGCGCCGCCCCGGCGGTGCTTTGCAAGATGAGGGCCACCGGTCAAAACCCAATCACAGCCCTTCAGCAACGAGAGCAATGCGTGAACTACTACGAGGAGCTGGAGGAATGCACTGTCAGGGCATTTCAGCTGCAGAAATGCAATAGAAGTTGTACGCAGCAATAAGAGTTCAGCTTTTTCAACCGGACTCTCTACAGTTCATTTTGGTATTGCATGCTTTCACCAAAACAGTTCTCTCTAAAAGTAATCACATTTCTAATAAATTTCAAATGCAAGCTGCTCTGACCTATCAGTGAATTATATCAATACAAACCCCTTGCCTGAAAATCTCAAAATCCCGTACGAGACACAGAAGCCCAGGGCTCCTCCAAAGCACAGCATCGCAGTGTGATTTAGCTTAGGAGGGACCTCGGGGTTGTTAGGTCTAACTGTCTGCTCAAGGTAGGCCTAACCTCATTTTTAGACCAGGTAGCTCAGGGCCTCGTCATACCTCACTTTTACACATCGTAGAACTCCATTTATTTTTGAAAATTTTGATTTTAGTACGTTCTGTCGCTATGATTAATATCGGACAAAAATATAATCCTAATGGAACAGACAAACCCATCAGTATGATAAAGGAGATTATGGTTTGGATTAAAATAGTATGCAAAACCACCACTAAGCCAATCAGTTGAAAGGAAACATGACCAGTTGGTAATTTTTAAACTAGCACAGGTCTTACACCTATCGTTGGGTTTTCCATCCTTCGTGACTACTGGCAAAATTGCAGTTCTTGCGCTCACAGTCACCTTTGACAGCAGGTTTGTGACTTCAGGATGGTACAGCCCCTTGCTGTGAGGTGAACAGAAATGAGATTCTTGCCAGTAAACATTTTCTACCCCAGACTGGAGATCAGGCCAGAGTCCTTTGAGGGCTCCGGGAACAAACGATGCTTACTTGTGATCTCCATTTCCCCTGCAGGCCAGAATTCTGAAAAAGGGAATATTAAGACTACTCATTCTATAGCTGGATTTTCACTGATTTTATGATGAGATGTTTTCTAAGGTCAAGTATATCCCAGACCAGAACTAAAGTTTAGCACATGTTTTTTTCACTGCACATCATACACTTCTATCTGGGTATTCTCGCTTTACTTTCTCCTTGTGTTACTCAGAAGTGACCAAACAGGCTTGAAAACTATATAAGCTTTTTTTTTTTTTTTTTTTTTTAAAAATCAAGTCAGGCTGTATAAAAACTGTAAATCACTAGTCCTTTCATGTTTTCATGCATTACAGAGGACATAAAGCAACACAGCATCCTGGCTGAAGAAAGGAAGATGACATACGTACAATTTATTTCACATCTCCGCTGGTCTGCAAACAGACCTCCTCCGAACTACGGGGAAATCTGTTCGGCATTTTCTGTTAACAGGCTGCTAGACTGCTGGAGAAGCTGAAATTTTTAAGTGAAAACTAAGAGGAAAATTAGCACTACCTGTGCTATTGATGCATTAGCCTACAATAATTTTAATATAAACGAAGATACCAAACGAATAGTGACATTTCCTAGGCAGCAGAATAACTGAAGAACTCTCAGCTACCACTGACTATGCTGGCAGTACCCAGAAAGCAGCAAAATGATCGGTCTGATTTACTAAGACCTCAAACTTGTTATCACAAAGCAGAGATGCCATCTGACAAAATCAGCGTTGATGCCCCCTTCCCAAGAGCTCAGCTTAAGCTAATAACAAAATGACACATCTGAAAAAAATTATCTCCATACCGCCACCACGCCCAGCTTACGAACGTGAACGAACTGACTGAATACAGAAGTACTTCATGGCTTTGTATGCACTTAGAGTAACTTCCCCTGAAATCTTCTGTGGAAAAGGGTAGGGGAGAGTTGGGAATCAAGTGACAGCAGCTAACATTTTTAGCTCGATTCTCTAAACGCTGCTAGCTAATGTAAGGGCAAAAGTGGCTGTGGGGACTCTCCTGTTCTGTAGGCTCTTTTGTCCTTTTTACAGCAGTCTCTTGTTTCCAAATAGTGTAGAACGCATAATATCCAAGAGTCATGGGTATCCATATCATGCATTCTACAGCTGGTTTTGGTTGCCACTCTACCTTCTTGCTTCAAGCTAAAAACATTTTTTTCCCCTTCTCCTTTCTGAGCAGCTGTTCCCAGATGGAGGGGACAGTGAGAACTCAGACGTTCCTATAAAAACATGAAAACTCATGTAGTAAAAAGTTCTGATAATATGGTTAAAAGTTCCCTACCGAATTTTTCTATCGCTCAGCAAAAATTCCTTTAGACTTGGAAGTTGTATGCTCCATCCGTACTTTGTATTTCTAGCGCTGAAATCTCTCCCAAGAGAGACTGACCTTGCTTGCAAAAGGAGATATAAAAACAGCTCACTTTGGGGCCAGAAAGCATGTATCATGCTTGTAGAAGTATTCAGCTGAGTCAGACAATCGTGACTATTGCAATATCACACTTCTGTTATAGATAAACACCACCCACTCTTAAAAAATGAGGAGGAGCTACGGTGAACCAAGCAGCCAGTATACTAAAAGATCAGCAGCATCTCGGAAAGCTCTTACAGGTCTGGAATCACAAAGTATCATCTCACTCTCCATAAAAGCACAAATATGATGCCGGAACAGAAAATCCAGAATGCAAGGATCTTCTGGAACTTCATTTGGCAGATACTGGAAAGCAAAAAACCAGATCTTTTGATAATAACCACTTACACTGAAGTGTCCCGCTTACACGGGAATGGTTTACCTATGGAATGAGCATCTAGCACAAAAAGGAGGAAGATCTTCCAGTATCACACCTTAAGAACAAAATTAGAAAGAAAGTGTGAAATCAATGTGGACACTCTCAGCAAGGGCATGAACATTCCCACCAGTGTCTAAAAACTGAATCTTCCATATTACTACATGCCATAGTTTCAAAAGATCTGGCTAAGCTCAAGTGAAAGATTATCAACTGATAAGACTGTGACCCCAGGCCATAAAATTGAATTGAAATTTGAATCAAATCTATCAATTGTTACGAATACTTACCTTGTTCAAGGCAACTTTTAAATCACTAGGCCTTGAGAAATGTGTGAAGAATTCATGCAAAACACTGAGTTCTGAAAGGAAAATCTGTATCGCTATTCCCGTTTTATAGATGGGGAAACTTAAGCATGGGGTCATAAAGACGCGTGCTTTTATGTCTTGCACACATGCTCAAGGCTAAACCAGTAATTAGATGTGGAGTCAGGAAAGACTCTGCCCCCTAGTAAGACAGGAAGAGAGTCCTGGGGGTAGCGTTTTTTGTTTTTAATTTGCTTCTTTCTGTAGAGACACACTCTACTTCCTAAGGTCATCCAGACACTACCAGTGGGTGCTTAAAATAGTGCGGGCCACGGAGCCCAGATCCAGCCTCCGAACAATCCCATCCAACTGGCTGCTTGTGTCTCGCGAGTGGCACAGAGCACAGCGTGCTGTCCTGGCAGCCAGCTGCCTCCTGCCGTGTCCAAACATTTATTGGCACTCCTAGATTAGCTGCTGCTGTGTCCAGATGGGACTTGAAAGTGGAATTAGATGCATGAATTCTGCTTTGACACTGGCAGCCACCACTTCTGTATCCAGATGCTTTGCAACAAATCCTTGAAATGAAGCATCCAGTCCTTAATGCTGAATAAGCTAGACCTTACCGAATCCCTTGTAGTGCACAGGCAGTGATCTTTCTTTCCTGCTCACTTTTTATGTCACACTGTCATGTTTGAGCTTTTTTCTTAAAAATCTCAAGGTATTTGGGGGTGTTTTGAGGCTTGTAGAGTTCAGAGAGTAGGGAGTGAATGGTCTTGAGGCCTTTCTGGATGGCTTAATGTCTTCTACAGGAAATTGCACTTAATGACCAAGGAAGTTTCAGTCCCATATTCCTAAAGGCCCAAGTCAGCATCAGATGCAAGACTAAGTTCTGGTGAAAAGGAACTGACTGAAATAAACCAAACAGTCATTATATGAAAATTACCTCTGATTAGCATCAAATTAACAATTTATCAATGATCCATGGATGCGAATCTTCGTATAATATCACCATTCCCCAGACCTCACAGTTCTCTGTATTGTACAGAGGCCGGCTTGTTCCGCTGGCAGAGAACGTTTGCAGCCAAATGCCAAGTCTCTGTATTTCTGTTCAGTTTTTCATCTGTTTATTCATATGAATATAATAAAGGAACACACAGCTCAGTTCTCGGAGATGATTCAACTTACTGAGGTGCCACCAAATACCCTCCTCCCTGCTCCAAAAGCATGCTGAATTGACTCACTCTGTGGCCACATGTCGCCTCTGAGAAAAGAGGGAGCAGGGCAGGACCACATCTTTCAGCAGCAGTCTTCTGTTACACTGGATTAGGTGTAATATGAAACTGCACTTTTAGAGAAAAGTAGATTTGTGATGCAAAGAAAATTATAAATTGCACGGAAGAGTCATTTTTCAATAAAAATTCTGTTGAACTAGAAATATTCCAAACCAACAACTGTACCCCCAAAGTTATGTATGTTTTATTCTTTAGCAGTAATTCAATAATTATTAATGTTTGATTTTAAAATAGTATTTTTCTGCATATAGGCATTTCATCTCAATCAACTATTAAAAATGCAAATCAAGATCCCCACAATGCAGTTTGAATAAATGCTAGAAGTGTTAATAAAGTAACATTTTTACAAAAGTTTCTCAGTTTTACTTCTAATCTCAACCCTTTCTTGTTACAGCACAATACTTCCCATCCAGACAGCTTGTCATTTTCCTTCTGCAGGGAAACACGGGGGGGAACAACCCTAGCCTGATTTAACAGTCTATTCTGAAATTCAACAGCATCCTGTGGCAATGTCTGCAAAATTAATCCTAGCACACTAAGGGACCCCTCACTGAGCATAACCTGCCTTAAACCCTTTCCCATTTAACTGAGGGAGAGCTATTTGCTCAAGCACTTCAGGATGACATCATTTGTTATTTGAGGCCAAAAGCTAAGGGTAATTAAGGCTAAAGAAAACGTTTTGAAGATTTTTGTAATTAAAATGCATAGAGACACTAGTAACAGATACCGTTTCAGAACAATAAGAACATGGCCGGAAGACTTAAAAAAAAAAATCATCTTACCATTGTGTAACCATTATGGAAGACGACTGGAAAGCACTTTGTCAATAGCACCTCATTCTACTCCCACTAAGGGGAACATACAAATAAAATACCAAGGCTGGAAGCATATGGAAATCGCAATCCTTGTTTATGCGATAGATACATAACAGTATTTCAGAGAAGAATTTTAAAACATTTTATAGCAAATTTACAAAAGAATCCACAGCGATTCTACAAGACTGGGCTAAAAATAAAGAGAGGAAGGGCCCTGTTCGGAACAACAATTGCTGCCAGCAGCCCTGCCTCTCAAACCAACAAACGCAAGGTCCTTTTTATCTACAGCGTGGCACATTCTTTTAAAACAAAAACTTGAAGCAGTTGGGTATCAGGATTGAGTTAGCTGCTGATTTTTTGAAAGAGTAAGATAAATATGCAGATAATAATAGACTGATCAAACACAACGAGCAAGATTTGTTATTACTTACACAGAAAGTTAATGCATGTTAATATAAGTTACAATAGATGATTATTATTTGTTTCTAATTTTATTATAATAGTAACAATCACTGAAAACACCACTCCTACTAAGTTGTAATTTTGATCAAACTTATTGCCCAGGACCATAGGTTTAAAAAGGAAACACTGGATCGGTTTTCTCATTTAAACAAGAACGTCTACAAGAAAAGGAGTTTTCCAGATAACTTACGTTTCACAAAAATACCTAGCCATAGCCAACTGCATTCTAAGGGCAATGCCGACACCTCATTAGAATGCTTCCCTATGACTTCCCTTCTCTGTCAACATGAATTAGAGCAATTTGCAATCATATTGTCAGATAGCCACATCCTGTGGCATAGAATAAGATGCTGTTCCGACTCTGAAGTGAGAGAATTGCACTTCACTGCATGCCTCGTATCCAAGTATCTATCTGGCAACTTACAAATATTTGAATCAAGAAAGAAATTAAGGTGGATACTATCACATTTTTTAATATTTTACCCTGACTGAACATTTTGAAATGCAAGACAGTGTTAAGAAATGCACGTGATTTAAACAGCACAAAGTCACTTCTTATCCCCCCGATGTGATAAAACAATGATAAATGAAAAGTCTGGTGGTAATAAGTGTTTCTGCACGGCAAACCTTTGCATTGCCAACGTTGTATTTATTATCACAGAAGAATTCTATTAGTAGATATTGTACCAGAAGTCATTCTGAGTTTTACACTCTAAGGGATGGGTTTTTTTAGAATTCCTGGCCACTTTGTCAACTGCTTTCTGGAATGCAAAAAGATTCTGCTATTATAAACTGACCATGTTGGGCAGTCGTATAAACACGTACTCATGAAAGCAGCCTAAATTTAGAGGCAAGATTTTAAAAGGCTGGCTACCCAAAACTGAATTCTTAAGGTAATAGCTAATTATTAATAAATGTTCAGACTATCAAAAATATTAAGCACCCACCAATTTTCACTAGGTTCAGTTCAATATTGACCATTCAGAACTTTTGAAAATCAGGCCCGACGTCAAGCATTTGTATGCACATACAATATAAATTTGGTCACAAATTTTGCACAATTAAAACAGGTCGTCACCTGCTGGCATTCAGTCTACCCACAGCCTAACTCATGACTGCAGGTTTTACTCAAAGTTAATTTAACATGTAGGACTGTAATTATAATATCAAGCCACAAGAGGGCAAAAGCAGCCCAGCATTTTTATAGGCATTTCAAATACAGACTGTTAGCACTGTACAGGATTTATGAATTTAAAGTCTGATTTAATATGAAAAAGCAAAGTGTTTAAGATGCAGCTAATATATAGCCAACAATCTTTAATGCAGAATATTTGATCTGCTGTCTTCTTAATTTCCTTACGATGGCATCATTCATAGAAACTGAATCCCAAGATATTTTGGAGTATAACTACAATTGATGCAATACAATTCTAAATATTGAGTGTAAAATCTATCATTAAAAGATATATATTAATTTTCATTTAATATATAGAGCATAATTTGGTTATACATAGATAAAAGACTGCCCCAGAATCTAGAAATTGTGGACAGGCACTTACCCCCTTAGAAGTAGTAAAATGAGATGGACTGGTAAAATAAAAATTTGGTGTTAAAAGTGCAAGAAAGGATTAGAGAAAAATACAGTAGAATAATTAAGTTGGTGCAAGGTTACAGATGATTTTTTTTAAAAGGTCACAATGAGAGAATGAGTTTGAAACATATGCTTACACATGCAATTTAAAACGGCAAATTCCCCAAATTTTATAGTGATTAAGAACAAGACTAATAACATAGATAACTTTTAATGAAGGGGACTATCTTATACCACCAGCTGACTTTTGTCCATTTTGCTCCAAATTGCACAGGAGTAAGGAAAATAGTGATAGGCTATACTCGTTGGGTTCTCCAGCCATCACAGTGGCAGAGGGAAACCTGGTTTAGGAGCTAGGAAAAAGAAAACATTGGACTGTAAATCCAAAAAGAAGGAATATGTATTTTCTCCCAATCCAGGTACGGCATCATGTTTACAGGCCACACATACAGAGCCTTACAACATCCCAAGCCAGATGACCATGCTTGAAAATTTGTATCAAAAGCATTACTTGTGCCCTGTTCGCATCAACAGACGGATATTCTGTTTGCTAAAGGCACTAGACTTTCCACCAACTGATTCACAACGTGGATTAAAACACACTTGAAAAATTTATCATTTCACTGCTCTTTTGTTCTACTTTGCTTTTGTTTTTAATTAAGGCACAGGCAATGCACCACTTGTTCTATCACTCTAATACTAGCACCATACCACGTTCATGTGATCAAATATAAAACATACATGGTGGTATGAAAGTCATCGGCAATTACACCACAACTACACCAAACCCTGCATATCCCTAAGCATTTTTGATCATGTTCTTGCCTCCTCAGCATCCTGCAAAAACAGCGATTAGAAGCAATTCAGTTTATTGCCTCTTCTAAACTCAACAAATATATGACTAGTTTTCTATTTTGCTAGTCAATCTAAAAAAGCAAAACTGTGCCATGCTAACACAGCACTTCCTATTTTCTGAGATTCTCCTGATTTGGTCAAAGAAAATACTGCTGGCCCATGCCAATATCGGCTTTGAGTGCCCAAAACAGAAAGACTGTTCTTCCACATTTTCTGTCTAGCCCTTCCCTCGTGTCATGCAAGGGACTATTCCCCCAGAAAGGATTCTAGAACTGATGGCTCTTCAACAGCCCTAGACTCCTCTCCCCACTAACAATCCCGCTTGCCCCTTATGACCACATGAACTTCCTTTGTGATGCAATCAGATGGGATCCTCCCCCCCCCCCCCCCCAACTCCAAAAAACCCCCCCCCCCCCCCACACCATACTAGCCCCCCCCCCCCCCCCCAAGATACTGAACAACCCCAGCTCCCCCTCACATAATGATCATCACTACTTTGTCTTTTTACTGTTCCATTATCAAATAAGTATATGAGATACTCTACATAGCTCTCATAAAAGTAACAGAATACGATTTCGAGTCAAGATGCATCCATGACATGAATAGCAGGACATGAAATAATAGTTTAGGTCAATCACCATTGTTCAAAAGTATTTTTGAAAATAAAATACCTTGTATTTCCCATCCAATTATGTCCATCCTTCAAAATTAAGGGACAAAGAGCATCAGCCTAACAACTGATAGGGAAACTAAGTCAATCCAAGGAATCAAAACAAAAGTTATTTTACAACCAATTTCTAAAAAGCTTTGGTTTTGTGATTACTAGTTAACCCTGAGAGTTAACCTCAACTGTTTAAAATTAGTTTAATTTCATGTTAGGCAAACTGAAGGTGTTTGCAAATGATTTTTCGCTATTTTTGTGCAAGTCTTTTGTTAAATCCAGTCATATAAATGCTGGGTGATTTTTCAAGCCACATTTCCTTTTAATAATGTTATGAACACAGTGTTAATCATCTTACATACAACTATAAAAGTCCTGGGCTTCGTTGCTTTAGAAGTATCTTCAATGCAAAACTTTGAACAACTAGAAAAATGTAGATGTACCCACGCACAGCAGGAAAATTATAACATACAGTTTGCTGGTGTGCTAGCTTGCTATTTGTAAGCATAGACTCGATAAACTAAATAATTGCAAATTCAAAGTTTTAAATGACAATTTAGTGAATGGTGTTCTAAATCTGGGCTTTCAATGCTAACATTGGTAATTTAAAGAGTAAGTTTCAAACTGTGCTTTTATATATGCTGCAAGTAATAGTATTACAGTGGAACTTTGGAAGCATTGGTTCTTTGGTATAAGTTAATTTGAATCTGCTTTTAGACCATGAGCATAGTTCATCTCTTTTGGACAGCACTGGGCATTGCTGAAGTTTGTGGTTAGAAAAAAACTTTTAAGATAGAGACCCTAATTAAGTAAAGAATGTCAATTTAAAACGAATCATTATGCAGCCCAGCATCGTGATTAGGGTCACAGGCACTGGACCTATTTCAGGAAAGCACTACTAGAGCGTGTAAGTGCCATTACAGTCAACGACAGAAGTCCATTATCAACCTGGCCCTAGCCTAAATTGTAGCTGTTGATGGATCTTGACCTAACAGCTTGCCAATATTAAGAGTGAGAACTCTTACAACTAGCCAGTTTTTTTCTAGAACAGTTTTTCCACTATCCTAGCAAATTTATCAGCTTATCGCTGGGTCAAATGATCACTGGAGCCAAGGCAAGGCAACATGGCTGGAAGTAAAGGAGGTTGTAGCTTCACAAAGCTTAAGTCAGAATGGGAAGCAAGCAGATTGAGACTTTTCTGGTCATAGTTCTGAAGGGTTGATAAAAAACAGAAACACCGCAAGGCAAAGTATGAAATCTGGTCCCGCTCCAGTTTTGCTTTGCAGCATGCATGGTGGCCTCTTCTGACAGTCTCATCCACTATCATTATTTAGACTGGCTGTGCCTAGACAGATAACACAGTGTATTGCATGGATTACCAGGGCAGCCCAGAAAGCTGCATATTATCAGGAAGTACAAGACTAGAAAATCCTGTGAAGTCCAGGATAATATTTTTTAAAAGATAGAAAAAAAAAAATCAGCTGTATTTGAGAAAGCAATGGCCACAACTTAAACCCATGCTGGTCAAAGTAGGTGTAAGTGTAACGTTAGAGGTTCTCCTTTAACTTGTCGATGCACTTACTTTGGGAAGAACAAGCTAAGCCAAGATGAAGCAAATAATGCAATTATGCTATTAAACTTTTTGCCCCTCAGCACTATGTGGGACACTCGGTACGTTACCCCAATCATCCTTCTGGTAACATTCGCTAATTGAGAGCTGGCTACCAGGGCTGATGCTATTATTATTCCGCTATTATTCTACTCCTTCTCTCAAATTGCTTTGTCAGACTTCCGTCACTTGAGACAAGTTCCATTATAAGAGACATTAGGTGTATTTAGGTATTTGCCAGATAATAGAGCAAGGTTCTTAGGCATCAATCTGTACAGATTAGTCTAATCTGTTGCTGCTGGAAACCTTGTTTCCAGCAGTAAAGTAGACAATAGTTTCAAATTACCTGCAATAAGGTTAAGCTACGGGCAATATATGTTTTGAGGTGAGAAGAAAAACAAAATAGAACTCATGCATTCCCAATTTTGTCTTTACCTTTACCAGATCAGGTAGGTATCTGAATTGAGATTCCAATTTCTCTAAAAACTATTGCTAATGGATTTGGCTCCATTTAAATTGCTTTATTTGTGAATGTTCTCTTAAGTATTTTTGAATGCAGGACACAACAGAAGTTCAGTTAGTAATATTATTTCCTAAATCCAACAAAGCATGAATAATTAACATTTCAGTATTGGATAAAAGTTTGTTATTTTCACACTAAAATAGGATGTCCAGGAGAAAAGTGAAATAATTCAAGATTTTAGAGATTCTATAAAAATGATGGCAATGAGCCCATGAAGTTAGACACAAAATGGCGAATACCTGTAGTCTGGTTCTAAAGTAATGCAGCTTTTCAGTAATGTTTTTCAGAAAAATATAGAAATGGTTTTTATTTAAACTCTTATATCTCAACCTATCATCCAAAATATCAGCTAAGGACTGAAGTCAGATCATCCTTCCCTTTACCTTTTCCTAATATGAGACTACATAAAATTAAGTTTTTTCTGTCATCCCCTTTCTCAAGCTTACCTTTCATTCTATAGGACAGCAGATATCATGGATACAAGCATCAAGAAAGGAAGAGCAATACTTGGTTTGTTCATGATAACAGGTACAATGTTATCTCGTAAAATCCTAAACTAATGGCGTTTCGTGATACCTTGCAAACATTCAGCAAAGCTACCGTAAATCATCCATTATAACAGCTGAAATGTATAGAGATGTCGTAAGAAAGAACACAAACTGAAGGAAAAGCAGAGCATGTTAGAAAAGATATAGGAATCAAAAACTGTCTGGAAGCAGAGAGGGCTTTACAATTTTAACACCTACCTCTTCTAGAAACTATACTACATTGAAAGTAACATGCCAGAAAAAAAAAATCCGTTGTCATTTTATTATTATTAAGCAAGAAAGCGCAAGTGAAGAACAATCTAACTGTAACTGCACTAATAAATACTACAAGGATCTCTGGATTTTTCCCCCTTTTTTGCAATTTACATTTAGCCTATATTAACAACGACACGCTGACTTCTGTGTCCTCAGTGTCCTGACTTCAGAGAAGCCAAGTGTCAGACTGTGAATGACTCGGCCTGGTGGCTAAGGTGTGTAGATTGAAGACTTTGGCTCCAATTCTTCCTCCAGTGAATATCAAAGTACATTGTATAAAGCAAAACTGTTTCCACAAGAAATCTGGAAACCGACATCATAACACGTAATAGCTCAGTGGCTAGGCATTCCTTCAGTGTGGGATAGTTAGTCTGAGATCTAGACTCTGAATTAAATAAAATCAATTTGAATGTCATAAGCACTCACATCATTTCTTCTCCCTAGTTTTCAGAATTTTTCCCTATGTTCTTTTTTTTTACATCAGATAAAATGATTCAGTTCAATTTTTTGACCACTGTAAATATAGTTTTGGTTCAAAATAAAACTTATTTTTCAAGTCACCCAAGCGGGAAAAACCAATTAACAAAGCTCTGTGTCTAAATTCTTTGGGATTTACTGGTTCTTTCAGATTTATAGATTGAAATATCATTTAAAGTCAGTGCTTCAGCTGAAGCATGAGCCCAACACAAAATGATCTTTTGTATGTGCAGCTGGGCCCATGTAGGATATACAGATATATATATATATAGTAAGTAACACAGCCTGAAGTCTCAGTGAAGGACACCAGCACTTCAAGCAAGTGCTTAAAGCTCTGCTGAACAAGGAACAGCGTAAACCCATACTTAGAATGTTTTCCTACATCATGGTTGTGAAGAGTTGTTTTTTTTGTATAAGGCTCTCCTTATGCATATTGACTTCAGGCTGAGTATCAAATACGAAGATAATTAACTTTCATGTACTGTCTGATAAAAATGAATTCAACACCCTAAAATTAATGGCAATGATCTGGAGATCTGGTCTGGTCCCAACTGATTTGATCCTGTGAAATACTGCATTCTGTCATTAAAAGATAATGAGGGTAACTTCCATAACTGGAACACTTATACTGACAAGAGAGGAGATATCCAAGGTGAAGCATTAAATAGGCAAATATCCTAAATTAATTAAAATACGATATAAAAAGAGATTATAGTTTGCAGCTTCTTTTCACCAAACAATTGTTCAAACTGAACAGTCAGTTGAGTACTAGCCCTTCCATTTGAGATACCTTTTTCTAAAAATTATGTTCTTTATGAAAACTATCCTACTCTTTATAAATTTAAATTCCAATGTAACGCACAACCTGTTTCAGGTAGCAAAATCTATTTTGCATATTCCAGACTTTAAACAGACTTTTTTTTAAAACCATGAAGCTTTGTTAAGTCGCCTTCAGTTAAGCTGCAGTAATTCGTACTAGCTGAAAATCTTGTGCAACCTAGGGTCTGGATTTTTTTTAACTGCAAAAATATGTAAGCTTTTCTGAAAATACTTGTTAATATATATGAAAAGTTCACTTTTCCCACAAAAAGTAGATTATAATAATACTTCAAGTATTTACAGTTTATTTGAATGAAGATTACCATAATCTTTCAAATCTGGGGATAAAACCATAATTAATATATCATTACTTAATACAAGTTATGAAAATTCCAGTAATTCGTGTTCTACTGTAGTACCGTAACAGTAAACCATCCTTCTTTCTACTCTAGCAGGCTGGAGGTGAAAGTATTTTTCACCATTAGAAACTGAGATTCTCGGTGTGATCTTTTCAGCTTTGCACGACGGTTCTGGAACCAGATCTAAAATTGAAAGAAAAGGCATGCTTTTCAGAAATATAGCACTGTAAGCAGAATAAGCTTTGAAACTTAAAAATATTCACACAACTTCACGGTATTTTGTATACTCACAGTAGTTTGGAAGTTCAATACAAATTTAAGATCTGCAGGTGATGGCATTTTTTATTGCAGATTATTGCTACCTGCAATAATTTTAATACCACAGACGAAGAAAATAATACCCCCAGCTTAACTGGAAAACGAGGACCAGCTTCACTGTAATGAATATAAAAACTAATATGAACTTCAGTGATGCTGAATCAGATCCTGGAAGATGCTGAGCATCTGGAATTCCCACATGAGTCTTAAGGTGTTATTTCTTCAGCTGCTTAATTAATCTCAGCATCAACCTTCCCATCAACCCCAATATGAGACTTGCATCAAAAGCTTAATAAACATCAAGGTGAGGCCCAAATTCGAATGTTTATGGTATGCTTCTTATCACATTAGACTACTGGGAAATCAATAACTAAAATCCCCAAGTAGATTTTGCTTTTGGCCAGATGAAGACATAGGCTCAAACACTGGTTTCACACACGTATGCTCTACTGACAGTCTCACAAAATACCTAGACATTCATACAAATTATTTCAATATTTGTTTCAAATTTGTGTTTCAAATGTGGTGACAAGCCTATAAACATGATTTTAAAATGTGGAAGCAAATGATCGATTTCTGCACATGCTAACTAGAGATTAACAGAGCAGATATCATGGAAATATTATAGTGATGAATACCTCATCAACACTATGGAAGAAGGTTTAAGATTTCAGAAGGAATTCAATGGCTTCTATTTCACAAATCACTGAAGGCATACCACATGTACAAATGTACATTGGTTTAAACTGAGATTAATAAAATTACTGCTACTGCTGTGAAACTACTCATTTATATAACCACAGAGTACATAGAGATGGAATTACAGAAAAGTTCAAATAAATTTTTAATTACCTGGATCCTGTCTTCATCTAAATCTAATTTGCGAGCTAGCTCTTCTCTAATATCAATGCCAGGGTAGGAGTTCATTTTAAAAACATTTTCCAAGACATCAATCTGAGGAGATTAAAACACAGTTGTTGAATAGTTATCACTACCTTCAAAGAAGTAAGAAAGAAAATAAATACAAAGAACAGTTTAGTTTGTTCAACAGGAGACTTCCCAGCAGTGTTTGCACAATTCTGATTCCATGCAGAAACACAGGTCTGCTGAAATTAGCAACATTACCATTAATTTACACTAGTTCCTGATTACATTTCTCTCTGCAGAGGTACATCATACTGAATTAGTCAGCTGTTGTAGGCTTCTACCAACATTTTACTAAACTACGTTGTTATTAATTTATTGAATATTAAGAAAATCCCTACCTGGTTTCTAGTGAATGCAGTTCTTGGTCTTCTACCCCTGTACCAGCTCAATTCCCGTTTGAAAGATAGCCTTTCAGTGACTGAAAAATATTTTTCACATTTCAAAACTCTTTCCTCTTGCACTGGATTACTGTTAGCATGAAATAATTGATTTTCATAGCAAACAACAGGGATTTGCAGATGAGTATTACTGTCATCACCTAAAACTAGAAAAAGCAAGCAAACGAGAGCTTCAGTTTACTGGTTTTCAATAGAAACATGAAAATATATACATTTTTAAAGGAGTAAAAGCTTGAAAGGTTACAAAGCAGACTGCTGACTTACCCAAGTTGGTGCATGCATCAGTCCACGGTCTGTGAGGTTTCACAGCTGGAACGACATCTTTTTTCTGCTCCAGTCCCAAAATACTTTCAATGGAAAACGAGCACTGTGTCGTCTTATTTTCTACAAAACCAGACATTTTCTGAAGATTCTGAGACGCTGATGAATTAGCAGCACATAGCGATGTACTTGCCATGCTTTCACCTTCAGCCAGCATAGCATCTATACTGTAATTGCATTTCTCCACAAGTCCTCCTTATAGCTATGTTGACAAGGGGGCTGGATTTGCAACGTCATTAATTAAAATCTTTTATTAGAAAGTTTTAGCATGTCAATGAAAACTCTCCCACCAAGAGGTACGAGGAGTTAATTGTTTATTTGTTTGCAAGTAATTAGCAACTAATGGTGACACTAGGGGGGCCACCAAGAGGGACAAAAAGTGTTATCTCTCCTAACCAGAACATCGACTTAACTTTCTCAAAAGAAGCTGTGCACAAATATAGTACTTCTCTTTTATTTGAAATCATTAATGTATAAAATCAGGTTTTTTAAAAACTTTATACTCTAATGGACTCCACTTACCTAAACATAGCAGCATGATAGGAAACCAGTCAAGTAATAAGTAATCTCATTTAAGTGAATTTCCTTCCAAGGAAATTTAAAAAATAATCTCTTAATGCTATTAGGGTAATCCCGATGAAAATGCCTCTGTTTTTTCATATGCATATGTAATGGTGAACGTGGTCAATAAAACAACAATAGCTTTTGGCATAAGGTGCTGTGCAGTGGGTTGGCAACGTTGTCAAAGCTCAGTGTAATTGCCTTCCAAGTGCCTGGATTAGTTAACAGGAACAGTTGCACCAACTATTTTAAATAATTCATGCATTCATTTTTCTTATTAAAATAACTTTGTTGCAGCTTTTTTGAAACATACCATATGTGAAATTCCCTCATCATTCTGGACAACATAAAAACAAAACTTAAAGTAATAGATGCAGTACACTCAAATTTACTGGTTTAAAAACATCCTTTTACTGCTAGATATTCCTCCCTTCTTGTAGTTTATAACCAATAGAAATTTATTTAAATCCTACGGAGCAAACACTTAAAATGACCAACTATCAAGAGTAATGGGGAGAAAGGAGGTAAAGGTTTTGTAATGAAGTTCAAAGTTTGAAAAGATAATTCTGATTTCATGCATTATAAAGAAAGTACCAACTATAATATTGTTATATTCAAGATCATCTGTCAGCCACATAGCAGTTTACATGTCATGTTCAAAACCAGCCTTTGGTTCAGGATAACCTCTCTACAGAGATCCCTCCTTTTCTTATTTTGGACAAAGCTTTATTTTAGAACATGCAAAAAATGAGAACAGCATTTTAATTTCCGGATGCAAAAGTTACCCCTCTTAAATAAAACCTTTGATTTGGAGACATAACGTAGGAGCACATGCGCACGTAGGACTATGTGCCTTTAGAGGAAAAATCCGGCCCTCTATTTTTTCTTGTTTTACCATTTTTTCTCAGAGTAGTTTATTCTGTGTAATCAATCCCATTCACATGGCTAACAACTCATACTAAGGAAATAAACAGTACCTCCACTTCGATTTTCTCTACATTTGTAAACAACCCAAGACTAATCTTTTGGAATAGACATAAGCAGGAAAACTGCTAAGGAAATGGCACAGCCTAGAATTGACAATACTGTGTGAGGGAGGTTCTACAGAGAAAAAGGCAATCCATATGTGGCTTTATATCAGAAAGACGTTCAGCTGAAGAATGTTGACTTACTGGACTGGCTTTGTGTTGTGCAATGAGATTGCTGTCAAACCAAACTATCAAAAAGAGTGACAGTTCAAGACGTGATCTTACCAAGGACACCTTATCAGCACGTATCAATGGATCCTGAAGTGGCATCAATATAACTGCAATGACCGCCTGCAAGCTAAGCTCCAACCACCATTTAACAGCCTCAGCAACCACGACGTGTAGACACACAAAAAAGCCATAAGGACCTATGTATGAAACCACTGCTGGCTGGGATATTTGGTGAACTAGAGGTCAGTGGGAAGCAGTGTTAAGCAAGGGCCTTACAGCCCTTTGTTTCAGTACAGCTGTTCCCAACAAGGCAACCTGTGACCTTATCAAAGCAACAGGACTCCTTTTCTTGACTGCAGGCAGTTATTTTGCATATTCAAACTGCACACCAGGTCCAGAGGTTACTAAAGAGATAATGCAAAGCCTCTTATATAGCAGTGATCGGTAGGTCAGCTTTCTGCCTCTACAGTCTCTACACAGAACACCAGTTTAAAAAAAAAAAATAAAAATTCCCACAGAACACATTAAGTCAAAAAGAAAACAATACATCTCCTTCAGTACTGAACTTGGAGCTGCTTACTGATTTCTCTATCCCAAAGAGGTTAAAAGCACAAGCACTGATAGAGAGACAGCCTCTTGAATCCAGAAACTAATGCTGACTTTAATAATACAAAAAAACTCTTAATGATTATAATGTGCTAGTGTCCAAATACAGCCCACTATGTTTTTTTTAAAGAACTTAAAAATACCAACACAAGCACTGATACAAAACACATTTCAGAAAATACTTATTTCTCCTGGATGAATATGAATTCAATTAACCTGAGGCACACAGCTGAGAGACAGATTACCACATGCTTCAAGTCCCAAAGGGGTAAATACCTTCCTAGGTGTTCTCTTCAGGAAGCTATCAAGAACTATCAATAAAGTCAGGCATATGTGGTGGTAAGAGAGAGATTTATAAGAGGCATGTCTTTTCCCAAAGCTAACCATTCTGTTAACCAAGTAATTAATAACTTATTTCTGGTCTCTCTGAGATTGTGGAAGATGGAAAAAAACTTTTTCAGGGTAGTCTGCTTTTAACTCCCAGTTGGAAACACTCATTCTTTCAGGGTTTTTTAATGACTTTTCAGGGAAGAGAGATTTTGGTAGCTCTCAAAAAGAATTTTCATAAAATAGGCCAAAACCAGTCAACACATTTGCTAGGCACAGGTCAGAAGCTCATCAAATACTGCCATCTGGTGTTGAGGCTTGCCCAGCTGTTAAGTTCGTTCAACAATGTTATCCGAGTAAGAAACTGTGTTATTATTAAAATAATCATATTACATTCATTTGCTCAATGTTGAATTGACTCGGACCTGGAGACTGCAATGCGGTCACTGAAACATATCAAGATGCTTGTTTTTAAACAGTTCATGGCTGCAACTGCGTATAGGACCAGGAAGCACCAATTCAGAAGTTCACAAGGTAGATGCTCACACTATGCTCTCTAATTTCCGAGAAATTCAGTGAAATTGAAACACCATATATCTAAGAGACCTTTATAATGCTAATGCAGCTCCATATAACTGTTTATAAAATTTTCACAAGAAAAGAGAACTTATTCTAAAGATAAGAAGCCTGCATTATACCAAAATTCCATTCTATCCCTGGATGTATTCAAGGTCAGGTTGGATGGGCTTTGAGCAATCTCATCCAGTGAAAGATGTCCCAAAGGGGCATTGGAACTAGATGATCTTTAAAGGGCCCTTCCAACCCAAACCACGATTCTAAAACAACATATACGTAGAGATAAATCTTCTGGAAAGTTTGGCTGAAGGTCTAGCATTCAAACGTTACTAGATTTCTTTGAACAGAAGCTTGCTTAGTTGTAGAAGAAAGCTATTTGTTTATCAAGGTAAACAGTCAACAAACCTTTCCGTAAGAAATGAGGCCGAAAATGTATTTTCCACAAGGCAGAACACAAAGTTTTAGATTCAAGAATACCCGATAGTAAAGAACCAGATTAAGTTTCCAGGAATTCCCACTGAAAGTGTAATTAGACCTTGAGCCTTCGCTCAAAAACTATATTTGATTATTTTGGCCCTTAGAAATGATCCATACTTCCCTTGCAACCCATATGAAATTACCTATAGAGTTTCAGCTTAATACTGTTGTAGGGGTAATTAGAGCAACACAACAAACATTAAGTTGAAAATCCTAAGTAATCAATAATAGCAGAAATCAGTGCTCCTTGGATATGCAAATCCAATCCTCTTAAAGCATCACATACTTGATGAGGCAGCAAACTAATCTCCCTTTCAGATTTTGCACCACTGTTTTTTGCCCAGGGCCAGTAGAGTTCATCTGTTTAGTAGATGAAGCTCTTGTTCTTTAGAGATGTGAAGCCTCTAAGGACCCTGTTTATACCAGCTGACGAGACCACACCAAGAGTTCTTGGTGATTTGGTGTGAAACCCCAACGCTTACGGTTGCTACCTTTTGCCATTGTCACCCATTGCTACTCCACTGCCAGGTCACCTTTCACAATAGCCTAGGCAATATTTTCAGCTTTTCAAAATGGCAGAAACGGTATATGTAATCTTTCTTGATTACTTATCACACTCACAAAAATTGCCTTTCATCTCACCTTTACCACAGCTTCTTTACCCAGCTGCACCAGTATTTCACCACCTCAGATATTCTGCTGCATGTAGCTCCCTTTCAAAAATGTTTTGAACACGAATAACAAAGATTATATTCAAAGTCAACTTCAAAACGCAGAAGGTTTTGGTTTTTGTTTTTTTTTTAGGCAAGAATACCTCAAAACTGTTAACTCCAATTTTTTCAAAACATGACTAAAAGCAGTTAGCTATTTCCTGGCTGAAGTAAAAGCTATTTTGACCCAGGGAGATTAAGTGAACACAGATAAATTCAAGGTAAATCCAAGGGTGGCACTAGGAAAAGTCTGAGAAACAGTGTGTTAAACAGTGCGTAACATGCTAATAAAGCCTACCTCATCCAGACAGCCGCTTTCACCCTCCAGCAGAGGCAAAACGTTCTCTCCATTAGGGGACACATCTGGAATCCTCTAAAGACCTGTTGGCTGCTCTTCTCCCTGTTTACATAGTGCGAAGTGTTAGTTCCCCACATTTTTAAGGCCTCTTAGTAAGAATTTTGCAGAAAGAAAAAAAAAGAAAAAACACAAAAACACAAATCCAAAACCCCAAACAAGCAAAGAAATAAATCACACACTAACAAAAAGCCTACAATGCTGAAAAAAGTGTAACACTAAAAACACACTTATTAAAGGGTTCAGAGGGATTCTTCAGTTCATTATTATTGAATCTCATCTGTTGCTGTCAAATTCGTATCTCAAAACTTTTGGATGCCTTCTAACATTTGTAAAAAATGTACACAAAAGGTAAGAACAAGACTAGCAAGATCTTACAGAATGCTTCAACATAAGGCATCTATTTTAAAAGCTGACTACTAATTCAAAGAAGCCCTGGTATACTACAAAATTATTAGAAAGGCCCTCCTCTTGCTACAAAAGCAAACTGAATCATTAAACTGAATTGCTAAGATCAACAGAAACAAGACACATTTTTATGGTACAGGCCAGCTGAAATCCCAAAGCACATTTCTACATATTAAAGATATATTTGTTAGTGTTTTGGTTTTTCTTCTAGAAAACATGTAATTCTCAAAGAGCTGTTCTCTGTTCATAACAGCTCAAGAACTGTTTTTTTTCCTCTGCCACTTACAGCTGTAAATATACAAAGCTAAAACCAATTCCGTTTAAAGTTACTACCTTCCTGAATTTTGCTAGGGAAATGCATCTTATAGTACAAAACAGAGAGCATTTCATACAGAAGACTGCTGTAAAACTCAAGTCACAAGTTAACTGATTTCAAAACCAGAAAACTATGCACATATATATAGGTCATAAACCAATGCTAGTGTTCTGTCAAATAATAGTTACAGATGCAAGACTTAGTCTTTAAAATCCCTCGTAAGACAACTCTATATTATTACCATCATATGACAGGGCAAGAGAGCAGTGGTGTGACAGGTGAGTCACCAGCTGAGCTGGACGTACTGACTGAACCGAGCTGCAACTTTGAAATTTCCTCACTGCTCCCTACAAAAAACCCCAAACCAAACAACTCCCCACACACCTCAAAAATCTTTCATTGTTTGTACTTTAACACCAGCCTTTTCCTTTATCTCCTTTTAAAGGTAAAACATGATCTGATCCAACGTAAAGAAAGGTCTCCATAGCAAGACTGCACAATAGTTAATCATTTGCTCTGCTGGGTGACTTCGTGTATTTTCTAATCTGGTTTTATACTAAGTTCACCTGGCCCCAAAAAGGCAAAACCAGCAAGGGAACAGACTTTTTTTTTTTTTTTTTTTAGCTGTAACAATAAATGTACCTAAAAAGTTACCGATCATCTATTAAAATGCAGAAATGAAATATCATGAAGTAATTTCAGAGTTGAACCAGTTTGGAAATTCAAATACACTGTACAATTTGGTTTTGCTTTTGTTAGTTTTAAGAGTGAGAATTTTATGCAGCCTCTTGTTTGACACATGGTACATTTTAATCTGTTTTTAAAGGAATGGAAATTTAGATGGACGTTCTTGATTACCCATTTGTACATACTGTACGCCTCCTAAGAGGCCTACTCTTAAAATATGAATTGCTTAACCTGCAGGAATAGTTCCAAGTATGATAACTTTGGTCAAAACATACTAAACACAGAGGGCAAGTCAAGAATATGCTCTTTTTTAAACAGTGCACAATGATCTGGTTCAATTCCAGCGAGCCCTCACAGTAGTTTTAAGCATTTAAAATTGGTCACCAATCTATAGCACCAAGCTTATCCAGTCTAAGAAAGCAGGGGGTCCATTAGGACTGATCATACTCTTGCTTCTGAAGGGGAAAAAACTGTGGTCAGCAAAGTTTTTGGTTTTAAGCCACAAGCAGGAACACCAGGTCCTCAGCTGAAGCTATCACTTGATAACAAAAAACACTAGGTAGTTAGGGATAGAAATACTTTCTTGATAAAAGCCCCAGTGGATGGTGGAGACGGACATGACAGGGATAAAGGGAGACTGCTCAAAAGGGATGCTCCAGGTAACATCAAGAGAGCACAAGAGATGCTTCCATCACAACAGGGTCACGACAGCGTTAGTCCCACTGTGGTTTTGCCCCCAAGAGCACTGTCGGTCTGTTCTGAGAAGTCAGCAACAGCCAGAACAAACAGGGCTAGGAAGACACGCTGATCTGTAACACGGAGCATATGTTTCTGCAAACGCGAAAAGAAAAGAAAAAAAGTTTTCTTGCTTTTTCTCAGTAACTTCGCTCCGCAACCCTCACCTGCCGGCGGCACCGCCGGACAGCCACCTCAGCGTGGAAACGCCCCTGGCTGCCTCCGCCCCCACTCACCTCCCCGGGCTGGGGGCGGCCCGCCGCAGCGCGA